AGCTAAACCTAACCCTAACCCTAACCCTAACCCTAATCCCTAATCCCTAATACGCAAAGAACCGAGAAGAACACAGCAAGATCCAAAGACAGAAGAGGGAAAGGGGAAGAGGCCTACCTCGGCGCTCCACCGCGCTGTCACCTCGTCGGTGAGCGAGAAGTACTCTGAGCCGATGCACGTCGGGCCTGCGCGAGTTTCATGCTAGGGCGCCGTGGCCAGGCCGCTCGATGGTGGCACGCTCACCCGCTGGGGAGCACGCGCGCCGGTGAGGGGGCCGGCGATGGCGCCATCTCCCTCTCTCGGCTCCGGGCTCTCTGCGCTAGCACTCGATCAATGGCTGTCGTTGAGAGAGAGAAAGGGAAGAGCGAAATGGGGGCTAGGGTTTTGGGGTAGCGCCGACCGAGCATTTTTGCTCGCGCAAGAACCACGCGGAGCCTTCTGATGAGATCCGACGGTCGGCATTGCTCGGGTTGTTTTCAGCTTAGGCGTGGAAGCGAATTCCTGGCCTAGGCCCAGGTTGCGGCCTAGGCGTCGGGAAGCGGGCGCGCGCGCCGTACCCAGATCCCGCTGGGCCGCAGCTGGGCCGTGTGCTGCTGCTGTGGACTGGGTCGCGGTTGGGCCACGCGTTGCTGCTGTGAACTATGGCACCGACTATTTTCACCAGACCGAGCCGAATGAGTAGTAAACGCAGATGTTTAGTTTTATTATTTTCAGAAGCAATTTTGATGAATTTTATCAAGTTTTGTATCTCTGTCAAAATTTGAACCAACGGGATAATTTTTTCAGAGAGTAGATGGATAAAGTAAAATGCTTCTAAAAAGTAGATAGAGAATTATTCAAGTTTCCGCTGCAAAGTTCAATGTTGATTATCTTCTAATTAAATTCATACCAACGGGAGAATTTAAATTGAAGAGCAGTTATATTTAGTAAATTAAGATTATATTTTATCGTCTGATTAAATTTAGAAAACTTTAATTGGAGGAGTAGCCAAAATTTATTTAAGTTAATTACAATATTGTTATTTTCTGACCAACGTTGATGATAATAATATTGTGATTTTATTTATAAGTTTTCCATGCATTAATTCTATTTCTGCACAAAGATGATATAGAATTAATGTAGAAGAATGATGTATTTATGATATTGCTATTTTTCTGACCAAAGTTAATAATATCAATATTATAATTTAATTATGAGTTTTCTTTGCATTAATTCTATTTTCTGCCCAACGGTGATGTAGAATTGATGCAGAAGCATATTGTATGTTTTATTTTTACCGACGAGATCACTCGGTTGCATGCCAACAGGCTGCAATGCTGGGGTATGTGAACGGAAAGGCTTGAGTCAAGCCAGTTCAGGACAATTTTTTTGTTAGTTTATTAATTTTCTGATTAAATTGGAACCAACGAGAAGATTTAATTGGAAAATAAAGTATAAGTGAATGTTTTAGTCGTCATGACTAAGTTTTCGTATAGATGTATCCCACATGGGGAGAAGTTTTGGCATAGTACTTATGCTAGTCAATCCTGCATGGCGGGAGAAGGTTTGTGATGATTCACATGTTTTGTATCCCATATAGCGAGAGAAGTTTGAGTAGCTCTTATGCTGTCCTAGTATTGACTTTGTCTCAATAGAAATGCATCGTCATGGTCAATACTAACCAATACTTGCAAAAGTACTGCTAATGAAAGACCTCGTTGAGTTCTTAAAGTGAATTAAGGAAAGTGTACCTCTAAACGGATCAAGAAATAACTTTGTTTACATAACATAATCATGTGAATGAAGTAAGTTAAAAGTGTCTCCTCGTTTATAGGCTTTCTGAATAGTTACCGAAATTATGGCAGTAAAGTTCATGCCATATTTCGAGGGGAAGAATATAAAGATCAATTAAGAAAAAATACTCTTCATTAAGAGTGAGATAAAAGATTAATTAAGATGAATACGACAGTTGGAGGAGTACAACTGTCACAACGTTGATACCCCTAAGCAAAGAAATAGCTAAATTCCTGGACCTTTTAAAGTTCTGACAGGAAGATAGCGTAGTCAGCCTCCAAGATGTTAAGGTGATGCTTAAAGCGCCATATGAGGTTTTAACGGATTAAACCCAAAATAAGAAATTTGAAGATATAATATCTTTAGAAAAGATGGGAAGATCTGGGGGAGCATGGTATGTAGAGGTATGTAGAGACCTAAGACTTGAAGAGAAGAGGGATTGCGTGCCCACTCCAATGACTCAGGAGCAACAAGTTTCTTAATACCTGCTGATGTTGTATGACTAATACAACACCTGTTGTTGGATTTTCGAAGAAGATGAATAATATAAATAAGGATTTTGTGATATAGGAGCCTGTAGAATCAATTGTCTCTTGGCAATAAAGAGCAATAACAGCCCCATATGAAAGTGCCAGTAGCTGAGATCCCATAAGGTCTCAGAATTAGTAAACCAAGTTTTCCAATGACTATGAAACCTATGTTAGTAAAGAAATTCAGATGGAGGGTGATTCCACCTCATTTAAAGAAGCCATGAGAAGCGTTTACTCGTTTAAATGGCAAGAAGCTATGAAAGTTGAAATGAATTAGGTCAATACCAATGATGTTTGGAACTTAGAAGTAATTTCCAATAGAACAAAAACAGTAGGCTGTTAATGAGTCTACAAGACAAAATATGACTCTAAAGGGAATATAGAAAGATATAAAGTTAAAATGAATTCGATGAGTACCAATGATGTTTGGGACTTAGAAATAATTTCTAATGGAGCCAAAACAGTACGCTGTCAATGGGTCTACAAGACAAAATGTGACTCCAAAGGGAATGTAGAAAGATATAAAGCACAACTTATGGCAATATGCTTTAAGCAAAGAGAAAGAATAGATTATAATGAGAGTTTTCTCTCCAGTCTTATATAAGGATTCTTTTAGAATCATAATGGTGTTAATGGCACATTACGATTTAGAGTTACATCAGATGGATGTAAAGACGATATTTCTTAACGGGGATTTATATGAAAACGATTACATGGCACAACCCAAAAAGTTTTGTTACGGAAGAAAAGAACATATGGGATGCCACATGTAGAAATCCATTTATGGGTTAAAAGTATGTCTCTAAACATTAGTATTGAAGTTGATGAAAACAATAAGAAAGTTTGGGTTTTAAAGAAAATGAGAAGGACGATAGCGTTTATGCGAGGATCAAGAATGGAAAAATCATTTTTCACATCATGTAAATAGATGACATTCTACTCCTTAGTAGTGATGTTAACCTGTCATTGGAGAAGAAGAAGCTTTATCCTCAAGTTTCAACGTGAATGATCTTGGTGAAGTGTCATTGGTTCTAGGAATCAAAATTCACCGAGATAGAAGAAAATTGGGTATTAAGACTATCGCAAATGCATACTTAGAAAAGATTCTAAAGAAATAAAGTATGCATGCGAGTAAACCTACTCCTACTCCTATAGTCAAGGGTAATAGTTTTAGGAACTTTAAGTGTTCCAGTAACCGATATGAGATCGATCAAAAGAATATGGTTCCATATGCTTTAGCTGTTGAAAGCTTGATGTGTGTACAAGTATAAGTAAGAACTTATCCTGACGTAGTTTATGTATCCGGGATATTTTGGCAGAAGTCTAGTTCAGATATAGATCACTAAAATTGAGTTGTGAATGTCTTGCATTTTTGTAAAGTATTATACATCTCATGCTGAGTAAAAAAGAATAAGAACTCTCAAATAGTTGAGGGTACAAAAGTTAAGTCTTGACGAGATGTGTAGTGAAATCCACAGAACACTCGCAGTTGAAGTATTATTGTGGAAAAGCTCCAAAAAATAGTTATGGTGTCATCAGTGATGCATACCATAGTATAGCTTGTCATGAGACTTAAGGAACAGACAAAATGAGGTTAAGAGAATATGTACCCGGACATAACAATGGTAGACAACAGCAATAACCATTTAAAGTAAGTTAACTCCTAAGACAACAAGTCAAGTGTGCTTTCAAACACACTGACACTAAGGTATATGTTGTAAAGGAGAAAATCCAGAATCATTTTAAAAGCATTGAGCACATAAGTACCGAGTAAGTACTTACGGATCCGCTTAACAAAGGCTAACCATCTAGTGCGTTCAGAGAACACACAGTCGACATGGGTTTATAGGAAAGCCTATGATTTCTGGATACTAAGGGCCTAGTTGAGTATCTGTTTCAAAACAGAGAGGTGCGTTGTAGCTGTTTAATCTAATGGCAACAGACCGTGACGACGAGGCACGATCTATGCACTGATATGTGATGGAATGGAAACAAGATAAAGTAAGTAAGTTAAGTTTAAGGAATAAGGTGAGATCAAGTGGGAGAATGTTAGTTATGATCTGCACCAATTGACCCAACGGTCAATTAGGCCCTTGATCCACGCCTTGATCGGGGGAGTCCAACCGCTCCATAGTTGATGGGCCCCCGTCGCACAACACCATAAAAGGGAGGTGGGGGCCGAGGCACATGGCAGGAGGTTTCCCTGAGCTACTAGGCGCCCCACCAACCATTCCTTGATGCGAACCGATCTAGAGAGAAGGTGCTGCCAGTGACGGGAAGCCGTCACCGACCTCACCGTCGCCTCTGCATCGCCACCATCGCGCCTACGCTGCCACGACACCGGCGTCCACGTTGCTGCGGCACTATGGACCCAAGGGCGAGGTACAGGAACAGTTTCCCCATTTAAGAGCAGGTTATCTCCTGGTCTAAGTTATAGAGGTAGTGCAACCTATCACTCAGCTCGGCAGCTCCTGCCTCCTATATATAGACGCGTTTGGGAGTCACCAAAACCATCAACTGATCAGCAGCTAGCTTCCCTCCTCTGGCTCTCCCTCCTTCCCCAACTAGCTCGCTCACTCACCACACACACGCACACGCTCACTGCGTATCTGTGCCTGACGCCCCCAGTTTCAAACGAACCCAGCCAGCCAGAAACACGCGCGCGCGCCAAAGGCCAAAGCTAAGTGACGTGGCAATATGGTGAGCATGGTGATCGCCGACGAGAAGCCGCAGCCGCAGCTGCTGTCCAAGAAGGCCGCCTGCAACAGCCACGGGCAGGACTCGTCCTACTTCCTGGGGTGGGAGGAGTACGAGAAGAACCCATACGACCCCGTGGCCAACCCCGGCGGCATCATCCAGATGGGCCTCGCCGAGAACCAGCTATCCTTCGACCTGCTGGAGGCGTGGCTGGAGGCCAACCCGGACGCGCTCGGCCTCCGCCGGGGAGGCGCCTCCGTCTTCCGCGAGCTCGCGCTCTTCCAGGACTACCACGGCATGCCGGCCTTCAAGAATGTGAGTGTCTGCTGGCTGCTGCTAGTTTACTCATTCATTGATTCGTTCCCAGGCAAGGCAGCCACTCTGTGGTGTAAGCGACCGGGGATCGAGCAAATAAACAAGAGTGACTGACTGAATGCGTGATTTCCGCAGGCATTGGCGAGGTTCATGTCGGAGCAACGTGGGTACAGGGTGACCTTCGACCCCAGCAACATCGTGCTCACCGCCGGCGCCACCTCGGCCAACGAGGCGCTCATGTTCTGCCTCGCCGACCACGGAGACGCCTTTCTCATCCCCACGCCATACTACCCAGGGTATGTGAGTCGCTGCAACTACTTACGATACAATAGGGAACGTGCAAGTGGCGGCCGGCGGCTGATTGGCGCCGCGCGATGCACGTTACTGCTATTAAGTACTCCTAGCTAGGCCCACATGATGGCATGACGACGGATGGGACGGCTGCTGACTGGGTTCGCTCGCGCTTGTCGTCTGCAGGTTCGACCGTGACCTCAAGTGGCGCACCGGCGCCGAGATCGTCCCCGTGCACTGCACGAGCTCCAACGGCTTCCGGGTGACGCGCGCCGCCCTGGACGACGCGTACCGGCGCGCCCAGAAGCAGAGGCTGCGCGTCAAGGGCGTGCTCATCACCAACCCTTCCAACCCGCTGGGCACCACGTCCCCGCGCGCCGACCTGGAGATGCTGGTCGACTTCGTGGCCGCCAAGGGCATCCACCTGGTGAGCGACGAGATCTACTCCGGCACGGCCTTCGCGGAGCCGGGCTTCGTGAGCGTCCTCGAGGTGATGGCCGCGCGCCGCTGCGGGAACGCCGCCACGGACGACGACGGGCTGTCGGAGCGCGTACACGTGGTGTACAGCCTGTCCAAGGACCTGGGCCTCCCGGGTTTCCGCGTGGGCGCCATCTACTCCTCCAACGCCGGCGTCGTCTCCGCGGCCACCAAGATGTCGAGCTTCGGCCTGGTGTCCTCCCAGACGCAGCACCTCCTGGCGTCGCTCCTGGGCGACAGGGACTTCACCCGTCGGTACCTCGCCGAGAACACGCGGCGGATCAAGGCGCGCCGCGACCAGCTGGCTGAGGGCCTGGCCGCGATCGGCGGCATCGAGTGCCTGGAGAGCAACGCGGGGCTCTTCTGCTGGGTCAACATGCGCGGGCTGATGCGGAACGCCCCGTCGTTCGAGGGCGAGATGGAGCTGTGGAAGAAGGTGGTGTTCGAGGTCGGGCTCAACATCTCCCCGGGATCCTCCTGCCACTGCCGCGAGCCCGGGTGGTTCCGCGTCTGCTTCGCCAACATGTCCGCCAAGACGCTCGACGTCGCGCTCCAGCGCCTGGCCGCCTTCACGGAGGCCACCGTCGTCGTCGAGGGCCGGGGCCGGGGCTCCGGCGCGCGCCGCGTGCTCGGGCCCGCCAGGAGCATGAGCCTCCCGATCCGATTCAGCTGGGCCAACCGCCTCACCCCGGCCTCCGCCGCCGACCGGAAGGCCGAGCGGTAGTAGCCGGTCCATCAAGCATCACCACGTGCTCAGCTTTTTCAGCTCACCGAGTGGTGTGGAGCAATGTTCATAAACCACGGCCACGTATACTATGATACCGTACCACACGGCGGTGGTAGCGGCAGCAGCACCCTACAGCATCATTAGCAGTAGGCGATTAGTAGTATTAATTAATCATTCCTTGGGTTTTTGTAATTTTGTGGGTGGGGGCCGTATATACCACGCCGCCATTTTTCCTTGGGCACGGCCACATAGGTGCCCGAGGGCCACTGTTGTATTACTCTAGGTAAGGTAGGAGCAGGAGCGATCGATCTTCCAGCAGGCATCGCATCGTGTATTTTTTTTTGACTGGGAATTCCCGTGCGTATCCCACGGGCCGGCACGGGGTCTCCCGGTTGTTTTGGGTGTACGCACACGCGGTCACTCTGTATCATCATTATTATTGTTGTTATTACAGCGATGTGTTATTGGTCGGTAAATAAATTTCACATCTAAGTAAACATTCAGCCGGATCGTTGGCTGGTTTCAGCCAAGGCTTATCCAGGGTTCAAAATTTCGATTGAATTTTACGAAATTCGGTAATTTCGGTGGTGGCCCAAAGAAAACTCCAAAAAAAATTAATACACTAATACATGTGCTATATAACTCTAATCTTATATTTTTCTATTGTTTATATTGCATATTCTTCTATTTAATAGATATGTAGTTATAAATCATACTAATATTTGTTTAGATCCAAATTTTTTTAGAAAAAACATACTTCATGTGCTAATCTTTAAAAAAATTTCGGCGAAATTTCGGCCGAATTTCGCGAAATTCGGTAATTTCGGTGGTGGCCGAAATTTTAGCGATACCGAAATTAAAAACCTTAGACTTATCATCCATGTTACAGTATTTTTCTCTTACAACAAACCCACACCAGTCAAGCTTATCAGCCCAGAAACCGACCAGCGAACCTAATTATATAAATTGGACTACATACTCACTCGCACACACCCTCTGATCGATGCTTCTGTAGCCTTTACTGCTTGCAACGGGACTCGGGAGTTCGTCTGACCGGTCGGCACTTGGCATCGCGTCGCCGTCACGTGAAAGTCAAATCCGGAACCACTTGGTCACTTGGACGACATCGTTCTCAAGGCTTGTTGTAATATAAAATAAATCTACGTACTGTGTTGACTTTATTACCGATCGATCCATCGATGTTGTCAGGATAAATCTACGTATTACTACCAGGACCCCGCGCGCCTACAGTAACTAGTATCTGTATTTGGGGTTCCCGTTATATTTGCATGGTCCAGACGTGACTTGTGAGCTCATGTCTGTGCCTTGTGCAGTGGTATGTCCTGCTACGTTTACGTAAGAGCAAGGTCAATAACAGAGATAAGTATTTGGCTATTAGCTAAATTGTAAAAGTCAAGCTATACAATAATAATATCTTATTTATCTATAAGAAATTTTTTTATTATTAGTTTTACATATGCCTCACCCTCTCTTTCCTTATCCTCCTCACATTCACTTGGTGTATGGACCCACCACTGCATATACATCCGTACCGAGCTTGTTACTTGCATGAGAGTCAATCTCTCCTCTCTCTCTCTCTACATCAACATTTACTTGGCTATAACTCAATTATTGTTCCTGCTCTAAGCACGCTGGTTGACTCGTCTATCCTACACGCTGGCCGGAGAGAACGAACATGGCACCACGAATTTTGAACTTGCTCTGACCTCGGAATACTACGCTGCATGCTTCGCCCACTGTTCTTCTTTGCCACGAATTTTGGCACGAATTGCATTGGAGGGTTCCCTTTATTTATCAACAGCTTGGGGGTATGAGGTATCAGAAGAGGGGGGAAAAAGAAATAAATCAGCGTGGCACGATAATCGAGGCACTGGTTTCCTCTCTCTCCCTCCCTCTCCCACTGTTTTCTCTCTTCGATTCCAGTGTGCTAGGGCGGATTAGGAAATTGTTTTTGTTTTCTCTCTTCGATTCCAGTGTGCTAGGGCGGATTAGGAAATTGTTTGAAGTGAACCTGTGAAGCCCAGCGATCCGGGGTGCCGCCAACAATGACGACATGATGCAGCTGATGCCAAAACAGCATCCGCGGGCAGGCTAGGCCCCGCGCGCCGGCCTCAGCCCACATGGGGCTCACCCGCGCACTAGGACATGCGTGTTCCGGTCAGGGTCGTCTTTGCATTGTATTTGGCCGATGCCCGATGGGAGCAGCGCAGATCGGTGTCTGGACCCCCAGAACGGAAAGAGCGCGCGGCGCACATCTTGTTCTCGTCCTATCGTCTCCGCCAGTTTCCACAGGGGGGCCAGGGTGCCCCTGCGGGTTGTGGCTCTGCATGGTGCGGCCAATTATTTTGGCCACTGGGGATCGATGCATCGGGCTCAGGCTTTGCCGTTTTTGATCGACTACCGCGACGAGGAGCAACCATGAACACGTCGTGGAAAAAAAAGGGGTGGCGCGAGTACAAATGATGGCTAGAACGAACGATTTTTTCAACTTGTTCGTTTGTTGTTTCAGCCAGAGTTTATCAGTCGGTTAACAGTGTTTTTCTCTCACAACAAACCAATACTAGCCGAACTTATTAGTCCAGAAACCAACCAGCGAGCGTACTTTTTGTCGTGGTAGTAGGGGCATCCGGATAACTGGATAAGGTGGATGCGAAGGTGTGTTGGGGGCCTAGGGTAGCTGGCTCATATAATGCGTGCGAGTGCGAGGAATCTACTCCTATGTCTATGTGGCACAGCACAGTGAATCTTCGGTGGAGGGCATTGTTTCTTCGCGTGCTCATGTTGCGTCCCATGTCGCTGCTGGCTGTACTGTACGGTGACGCGATGAAAGACAGATACGGGTGGAGACTGGAGATGACACCGTCACTGCCATCTTCCTGGGAAGTGTGATTTCTTATCAGCAGCACAACAAGAGCTTCGATCCCGAGGAGCTAGGAAAGTGATGGTAGTTACAGATCCTACCAGGCAGTTACAGTGTTAAGCAAGAACTTGACATTGTTGCTTCAAAAAAAAAAGAACTTGACATTGTCCGTTTTCAGTACTAGGCTGAGCTCTACTCCCTCGCTCAAAAAAAAGAAACACTTCTAATTACAGGGCTAAGTCAAATAATTTTCAATTTGACTATTTTTTTTACAAAAATATACAAATATTTTATCATACTGCCTCCATCCCAAAGAAAATGTAATTCAAAGTGCATTCCTTGTTAAAATATTTAGAGTTTAACCAAGTACTATATCTGTCCCCAAAAGAACATAACTATGGTTGCGTGGTGTTTCGTGTTTGACCAAGTTTTTAGTAAATAGTATTTATATTTATGGCTCCAAACTAATTTATTATGAAAATATATTTCATAATTAATCTAACGGTATTTTTTTATATTATAAATATTTATATTTTTTATTTATAATTGGTCAAACTTGGTATACTAAAATATGACACTGTTCCATAATTGCATTCTTTTGGGGGACGAAAGGAGTATATCGATAAAAACAATAACGTTTATGACACCAAATATGTATACTATGAAACTATATCACGTGACAAATCTAATAATACGTACTTAACATTACAAACTCAAGTTACTTTAATTTGGTACTATACTAGAATTATATTCTTCAATTCATACTTAAATTAAATATTATTAGAATATATTCTTATAGTATATTTTTGGAATTATAATTTTTAATACTATTTTTTACCATCTTACTTACTCCTCCTTATTTAACTTTTTAAATATATGTCACCATTTACTTATATTTAAGTAAAAATGCGAGAAGTCTGTCATCAAAAGTACTTTTAAGTTTTCCTTGTTGGTTTATACAGTATCTGTAAAAAAGAGTGGTCAGACGAATGGAGAAAAAAACACAATAGTGTCATATATATTTAAATTTTAAAATGAAATGAGTAGTATTATTGTTGGGTGTCGGCGATGATTGGCACTAATACCAACGAACGAGAGAGGAGGACCGATCCCTGATGCTAGTCGCACATTTCAGCACATAGTTTTCTCCACCGACTTCGCCCTTTTCGATATGGGTGGTGGTTGGCCACAGACCGAAGACAGTCTCCGATTCTCCCAGCCAGCTAACGCTCCGCTTCGAAGCTTCCCAAATCCTCTCCATTGTCCAAGTCATCCATCAGTTAGCTACCCCTGCTGCGTACGTGCTCAAGCAAAGAAACGTCCTGATCTCCATTTTTTAAAATGGGCCGAAATTAAGCTTGTTCGTTTGGCTGTGGCTTATCGTAAACGATCATAAATTCAGCCAGAACAATATTTTTCTCTCACACAAACCAGCCAACAGTACTTCTTCACGAACCAGCCAACCGAACAGGCTCAAACCGACCGGTCTCCCTTCCTACGCGCTTTTCCCTTACTACCAGTGGACACGCACGTGCGGCACGCAGGTGGCCATAAAAATGGTCGTTCATAAAAGAGGAATTATAGTGAAGTTTTCGAGAAATAACAATGCACGTTCGAGAGAACTCGGATAGAAATTAAAATATGTATTTGTCGCAGGAGTTGACTGCTCAATTCATGCATAGTAGATAACAAGAATTCAGATAGAAATAAATTGTGTATTTACAACAAAAGTTGGTTGCTAAGCACCAACACCATATTTACATTCATATCAAAATCCAACCCACAACTAAAACAATAACTTTCTTTCACTACAAGTATCAGCACTTGCATACCTGCAGTCACTGGGGAAGGAGCAGAACACGTGATATCCTATTTACAACAAAGGCGACACAGCAAACTAGATGCCTTTTATTCAGTCCTGGTTCTCGTCCCAACAACGAATTCTCCAGCTGAATCATATCATCTGAAATTATGAATTCTTGATGTCGGTGTTTCGTACCAGTACCGGCAAGTAAATTTATAGTAACACGCGTTAGGCTCGGATGGTGCGCTAAACGACATAAGATTTATATTAGTTCGGGCCGAATGTCCCTACGTCCAGTTTGTTGCTGCTCAT